TGTTACAAAGCCCACCTGCAGCGCCATGTGGTGGCCCATGGCTGTAATCCCAGCTACATGGGAGCCTGAGGCAGGAAGATCACAAGTTCAAGGCCAGCCTGGGCAACGTAAGGAGACCTTGTCTTGAAATAAAAAGTAAACCAGCCTGGGGATACAGCTCATGGGCGCAGCAGCTCAGTTCCATCCTTAGTAATGAAAAACAGGGGGGTCCTGTGAAAGTAAAGAAAGGATAAGTGTTAGCATCCGGTTAGGTGGGAGCGTCTCTTCAGTCAGAGGGACAGGAAGGAGCAGACGGCCAAAGGTGAAAGGTGGCTCCCAGGGAAGCCCTGCCGCAGCCCCGGTGTGGACCCCACATCCCATCCAGTGCATGCAGCACCGAGCCACGCCAGCCAGCTGTGATCCAGGCTGGTTTCCGGTGTGCTCCTTCCATACAGACCTCTCCCGTTCTGTTACCCTACAAGTGGCTGCAAGGCAGGGCTCTGGCTGGGTTCCCTGCACAATATTGGCATTAATACTTGACTTTGTTCAGTGATTCATCCACTGAAGGGCTCTATTTCCAGTAAGATTCAACACAGTCAAAAGCATTTGAGCTTTCGTTGGCTTCAAAACAGGAATTGTAACTGTTTTTGGCAAGTGTGAGCTCATTGTAAGTCATGCTCATTAGGAACGCGTTTTGAACAACATCCCACTGACCACTGACTGGACGATGAGTGTGATCTGCAAAATGGAGCAGCTGGAGACCCAATCCCAACAGTTCAGTTTTGATCATTTAGCAGATAGGCTCATGTATTTCCTTTTAGACAATTTTTCAGGAACATGGCAGGGACTTTTTTCCCTTTCAGTTGTAAGTAAGACATAAAACTATCAATTAGGATGTGGAGAAGTATTCATTTAAATATAAGGCACTGAACCTGAGGGTAAGGTTGTGTGTATGAGAGAGAGAGAGACAGAGAGTGACAGACAGACATAGAATAAAAAGGTCATCTGGGGAGCATGACATTTGAGTGATATAAGAAAGTGCCAAGGAGCAAAATCAGAGTCCCACAAAGGTGTAAGTTTTAGGAGAATAAAGAGATATAGGGCCAGGCATTTAGCTCAGTGGTGCTGCTGCCTGCCTCCCAAGCGCAAGGTCCCGAGTTCTATCCCTGGTATCAAAAAAAAAAAAAAGAAAGAAAAAGAAAAAAAAGAGATATGGTGGCTCTGGGCAAGAACAACAACAGGAATTAGTGTTACTGGTACCTGCTATGTATGTACCAAGCACTATGCAAGTGCTTTGCTGAGGAGAAGTATTCTCCTTCCTCAGAGGGCAGGCTTAACACGGGGGAGCGTTTTGTTTATTTTCTGAAGGGCCCTGGCTCGATAGATATTGTCAAATAATAACCCCCTGGATCAGCCCAAATGGAGCCGGTGGGATAAGGGGGCAGGGTTGGGGCCAACACAGAGAAGCTCATTTTATTTCCTCAGCAGCTAAGGGACGAGGCTGGGGCTGCGGAAGTGCATTAAGGGATAGCAGATACCACCCGATTCTGTCCGGTTTCCAAAGATAATTTAGTCTTTCCATCAGAGTAGCCGTCGGAATGCAGCAGAGCGGCAGCAGCATCGTAAAATCCGCTTGGCGTGCGTGCTGCCTCTTCCCCTTGCTGAGCTCCTCCCGGCCGCCCTTCGCACACCTGTGCGGTCCAGGTCCAGCTCGCTCTGTGTCTTGGAGGCTGCAGTTGTCACCTCTCTGGCCGTAGCCTTGCTGGGCAGATCCTGCTTCCTGGCGTTGGATTCGCGTGGGGCTGTGTCCTGGGAGCGGCACAGGAGGCAGAGACCTGAGTGACCGAGTCCCACGTGTACCTGCCTGCCTTCCTAACTCAGTGCTGACCCCGCTGGCCCAGTGCCTTACCGGAAACCATCATGGAATTCTGTCTGGTCGGAACTTAACGGATGAGGAATTTTTCATTCCCGTGATAACCTCCTCACACCACACAACTTCTACCATGTTTTCTCAGCTAACAAAGTGTCTTTGTAATAAACTGTACTTTTTAAAGAAAAAAAAGTGCCTACATGGGTTGGGAAATGGGAGTAGCAGGGAAGGGGAGACACGTAGACAAGGGTATTTCATCACGTAAATATGCATTTGACAAAGCAAAAGCAATCCATGAAAAATAGAATCAGAAGATGCTATTGGTTACTTGCAGAAAACTGTATAGACTCTGGAAAGGTAAGGTTGCATTCATGATGCAACCAGGTAATGGGCTGATCCCACAATAACAAGCGTTCTTAATTTGTTAGCTATCAAGCCAGTAATAAACTATTTATAACAAGGAAACCTAGAGTGTTTGAAATTGCTGGCTCCGGAAGCAGACTGTGGGCTGTGGTGGTTTATACAGCACCGTAATATGAAAAGGGCTGCTAATATGCTTCCCTGCCAAGAGCTGGGTTACACAGGAGGCTGAGAATTACAGCTTCACTACTTACCCGCTGCATAAACGTGGGCAACTTTATAAAACTATCTTAGATTCTCTTTCTGTAAAATGGAGATAATGTCAGTAAGTACTTCATTGATATGTTGGGATCCTCACTGAGTTAATGCTAAAATATGGCCCCAACTCACTGTGGAACTCAGCATGTGCTGCCATCACTGCTATCACTGTGATGCCATTCATGGGAATCTCGAGCTTCCTTGGTGCTGAATCACTTTCCTTCCATCCTTGGGCCCTAAGCCTGGTGCTAGCTGAAGACAGATGGGCCTCTCGGTGCTCCCTGTCTTCATCAAGGCCAGTCCACTGGCCTGTACTCGGAGGGCCCGTGGCTGGGCCAGTGCTCCCGTCTCTGCTCCATCTTGTGTCTCTCCCTGGAAGAGGAGTCCTCTGTGTGTCCACGCGCGAGGAAGGGGCCAGTGGATCTGTGCCGGTGCTGACTGAGCTCTGGCCTGATCCAGCTCTGCACTGTGCACTTGGGACTTTGCTAAGAGGAGGATGAGCCTACTGTTTAGGGGACGGTACCAAGACTAGGAGGAAATCCTCACTCTACGCTGCTGGCCTGCTGAAGGGAAGGTCCCTGGTGGTGGCATAGACCAGAGGGCCTGAAGCAGGGACTGCACGCAGTGTTGGCCGGTAGAGTGTTGAACTTTGTGATTAAATTTCAGTATGAAATCATCAGAAGATGCCATATAAAATCTGAAATTCTAGCTTTTAGCTGAGGAAGGGAGGGAGGGAGGGAGGGAGAGAAGTGGGGACAGGAGAGCAATACAGAATCTGACATCCTGCCTCAGCCTTCCAAGCATCTGGGACTACAAGTGCAGGACTTGTGGGTACCATTTATTGTTGCTGTGCTTTAATTTTATTTCTATGGAGAAAATTTAAACTTTTATGTGGTCCAAGTCATCATTTCTCTTATAGGTTGTGAATTTCTTATCTTTCTTGGAAAGGTCTTAGTTGTCTGTGTGGTTTGCAGGGGCTGCCCTATATAGGCACCTCTGACTGGGGCCTAAAACTAAAGCGTTCCATATCCTCACACAGTGGAGGTTGGGAATCCAAGAGTAAGAAGTCAGCAGGCAAAAACAAGAACCAAGCAGGCATGGTGGAGCATGCCTGGAATCCTAGCACTCTGGAGGCTGAGGCAGGAGGACCCAAGTTTGAGGTCAGCACTGGCTACGTAGAGATCTCAAAGCCAGTTTGCACTGCACAGTGAGACCCCTTCTCACCAAACCAAACCAATCAAAGCAAACAAAAGAACTAGAAAAGGTGTCAGCAGGGTTGGTTTCTCCTGTGGCCTCCACGGTTTTTGGCAATGACCTTCTTTCTTCCGGTGTTCTCACAGGGTCTTGCGTTTGTGTGTCTGATCCAGTTGTCATGAGCAACAAAGCTGTTAGTTCTCTACAAATCTGACCTTGGTATCTTTTTTCCCAGTTGCTTTTGACTCAGAACCGAGTTTCCAAATTCTCAAAACCTATGTGGCAAGGTTCTGAGAGAGCCTGCAGGTGACAGACGCACTGATGACGAAGGTGTCTTTGTTCCCTCGGGGAGGCTGAAGTTTAGTTAAAAGAACGACAGCTTTTTGTCAATAACGGTAACACAAGATGAATAATTACAGTAAGAGAAGCAAACTGTTATGCAAAAGTTCAAGGAGAGAGAAGTCGCTGGTGTTCAGAGGCGTCGGGGAAAGGCTGGTAGGGAAGAGGACGTTGAATGCCGTTACTGCGTATGGAACTGGGTGGAGGGGGGGTGTCAGGGAAGAGCAACGCCAAGGAGGCAGAAAAGCGTGGGTGGGGGTGTGGGTGGGAGCGGGTGCGAGGGACCTGTAGACAAGCAGCGAGCACAGTGAATACAGTTCCCCCTTAGCCATGGTTTCCATGGTTTCCTTTACCCTGAGTTAAGCACGGCCTGAAATTACAGCCTGTGATAGGAGGATATTTTGAGAGTGAGGTGGGCGGTGTCGGGAGAGATTTATTGTGGGAAACCGGCTGAGATGATGACGGTGGCCGAGAGCTCTGACAGGCCGAGGACCCAGAGAAGCTGGCCATGGAGTTCAGCGCCGTCCTAGGGTGGGAGCCCGGGAGCTGAGGATGAGCTGTCCCCACTCAGGCTGAGGCAGGAGGCCGCAGGGGCAGAGCCACCCTTCCTTCTCCCTTGTTTCTCCCAGGCCCTCGGCGGACTTGATGCTAAGATGGACGGACAAGGGGATGGGGCAGAGCAGACAGGATACTGAGCCCAAGGAAGCACAATGGGACGTTCCAGTAAGTCCAGTCACTTCCGGCTCCTATCCTTCAAGTGGTGGGGAGATATTTTTAATGTTTCCTTTTCTTTTTTTTTGAGACAGGGTTCACTATGTAGCCCACGCTGGCCTTAAAGTCACCATGTAGCCCATGCTGGCCTTGAACTGGCAGTGATCCTCTTGCTTCAGCCTCCTGAGTGCTGGGATGTCAGGCATGCACCACCACGCCTGGCTAATATTTCTGTTTTTAATCAACCACATCAGTTTTGTGATTTATTAATTCTATGACCCAGGGCATTTTACTTGACTTCTCTAAACCCGAGTTTCCTAATGAGTCCAAAAGAAAATGGAACAGACTTCTGGAAGTTAGGGACTACAGGACCGAACTGGCATGCCCGGGCTATGTGATGGTGCTAGAACAGGGTCCCTTTCACCGGCATCCCTCTTCGAGAGAGGAGGTCAAACACCGGCTCTGTCATTTACTATGATGACTGACCTCTCTGAACCTTGGTTTGCTCATGTTTCAAGTGAAAGTAATATGAGTACCTACTGCACAGGTATCATGAAGGTCCATGCAATGACTCATGTGTAGAGCCTCTTAGAGAGTGAGGTGAGTAGCTCCCACATGGAGTTGATGAGGAGATGCACTGCACTCTTCAATGCTAAATATACATCGTGGTGCAGGTTTACATTCAAGACGCAATCAGTGTGAGCTGTCACGACTCCCATGACTACTACTACTGCAGTTGTGCTAGGTGGACACTTGTTTGTCACTTTCCATTCATGATGGGCCCTTTAATGAATCTTCTCAGCAGCTATCTCTTGTAGAAAAGTAGATAGACAGAAGATAGATAGTAAAAAGTAGATAGACAGTTATAAATGTTCATGACTATAAACTGAAGATCTCTGAAGGGCAGTTTTTTTAAGAGTATCAGAAACTTGGGGTATTAGAGTCTAAAGTATATTCAGAATAATATGCAGAAAGGTAATACTTGAGAACAGATGAATGGATAAAGAAAATGTATTTATGCAAAATGGAGTACTACTCTACCAGGCAGAAGATACATTTGAGTCATTTGTAGGAAAATGGTTGCACCTTGAGGCAATCATGTTGAGTAAAATAAATCAGGCATTTAAATTTAAATAGTGCATGGTTTCACTTTAGTGAAAAACCCAAAGCATAAATGTTTTAAACTGAAGAATACATGATAATAGAAACAGGAAGATAGACGTTTTGCAAATGGGAAGGGAACCATGAGATAAACGGGGCGGGGGGGGGCGGAGAGGAGGAGGAAGAGACATAAAAAGATTTAAGATGTGCTATGTACATGTACCCACTCCCCATAGAAAAATTGTTTGTTTGGTACCAGGGATCGAACTTGGGTCCTTGCCCTTGCAGAACAGGCGGCGGAACCACTGAGCTAAATCCCCAGCTCCCATAGAAAATGTTTTTATTTCTTATTTTTATTTTTGAGACAGGTTCTCGCTTTGTAGTGCAGGCTGGCCTTTAACTCCTGGCAATCTTCCTGCCTCAGCCTCTCACGTGCTGGGATTACAATCCCCATAGAAATGTGACATTATATACTGCAAACATGTACTAATTAAATTTTTTTTAAAACAGAAAAAGCTCAAGAAGAAAAGGCAGGGCCTGCCAGCTAGGTAATTTGGTGACCGCTGAACCCACAGCTTTAGAAAGAGAGAAGGGCAGAATCCACATTGCAAGGCGCTGGGGAATGCGTGGGCGGCGGGAACGTGGAAGCCATGATGGCTGACTACTTTCTAAAGATGTTTTCCGAAGAGAAGAAGAAAAAACAGGGCAACAGGGCGGTAGCTGAGAGGGTAGTGAGGTCAGCGAAGAAACTGTAAGGAGGGAGGATACTTTGAGAACTCAAACAGGGAGCAAACGAAAGCAGCACTAGGAGAGGCTCCTGCAGCAAAAGCTCCCGAAGGAAGCAGGAACAGGGCCTGGGCTGAGGCGCCTGGAGGCCGAGACTCCCATCCTCCTTGGGGCAGAGCAAGGCGGGCGGACTGGAATCACCACGACCTACGGAGACGAAGAAATCGCACGGAGTCCACCAGAATAGAAAGAACAGCCTGGATCCACCGGTGAATGAGACGGTGACTGCTAGCTGGATCCCAAAGGGCCCAAGCCTCCTGTATTTGAAAGGTGGTTGGACTGTGGGGTGCATGGCCCGCTTGCTGGTGGGAGGCGAGACCGGCCAGCACGCTGGGTCCCCGGGGCTGACCCTGACCCGCAGGGCTCCCTTCCAGGCCCTCGCTCCCTGCTTCCTGTCCGCCGTGCGCTGAGCAGCTGCCCTCCACCGGCCCCTCTGCCTGCCGTCCTGCCTGCGAGCCCTGGACTGACTGAAATGGGAGCCAAAACAAACCTCTCTTTCTTTAAATCGAAGAAACTAAGATGGTGATTTTTAAAGCTGAAAGGTTTCCAGGAGTGGGGTGGGAACTAAAGGAGAGGCCAGCCGCTATGAAAGGGTGAGAGTGGACCTTGGATGAAGAAAATAATTTCTGGACATCATGAAAGTTTAACTGAAATGAGACGCATTTAATTCCTACAGACCCAAAGGACCGGCTTTCCCTAGAAATGTTAAGTGTTCAGGGGAATATAACACAGATAACGTATTTTCCATTCTATTGAGCTTGAAAATGCTGAGCCGGAGGGAATGAGACATCAGAATGGCCATGGACGCTGTGTGGTGGTGCGTGGACAGCTAACGTGTGTCCGCGTATTACCTACATGAGGACAAACTGAGGAAAATGGCGGGGTGACCACCCGAATAGACCCCTCTAGGGTTCCAGACAAGGCCAGTGGTCACCAGGAAATGGATCATGAAGCCAGGGCCAGAATACAGCTTTTAGGAATCCAGGTCTTGGAAGGAGAGCAACTCCGGTGAGGTGAAGTCCAGGGAGCCCAAGCCAGGCCGTGGCCTTGGGGTGGCAGGGTGGACTGGGCCCCACAAAGCCCAGAGTTCGGTGAGGGATGCTCTGTAGGAGCCTGATCCAGAGGTCTGGCTCCAGGGCCCCACCACCACCACGGGGTGACCCTCAGAAGCTACTGAATCTTTTCACAGCTGTTTTCTCAGCCATAAAACGGGGTCACAATAGTTCTTGCCTTTGAGAAATACGGTGAAGATTTAATAGGATAATACATGCAAAATGTTCTGCATCTGACACCTCAAAAAAGCTCAGAGTATGGCTTTTATTAATATTTAGCGTTATTTTCAGAATCTCCATGCATAATGCATTAGTGTTTATCCTGGGGAGAGTGACAGGGTCTAAGCTGGAGAGGACGCCTGTGGGTGTGGTGCGAAAGTCTATGGAGAAACTATCAAGTTTTAGAGGATAGTGGATGACTGTGTAAGGAAAGTTAGAAAACCTAATTAACAGTTGGCTGCAATAAACATTGAAGATCTAAAAGAAAAAGGAGAAAATGAACGAGGAGGAAGAGAGGGAGGAAGAAATCCTCCAGTAGAGCTGCTCCGAAGTTTATAGCCATTGGTTTGATGATAGTTTAAAAGACCCGGCTTCTTTCTGGCTGTTTCCTGTCCTCTTAGGCCACTTCCTGTCAGAGCCCAGCACTGTGCCTGAGGTTTCAGGCACCTTAAGGGATGAGTTTAGGGGATCATTAGTGGTTCTCTCTGGAATGTGAAGGGGCTGGCTCCTATTAACTTCAGGGTAGGGAACAAGAGCAGAGAAGTACTATCCCACTTAAAAAAAACCACAACTAATGCTGCAGTGAGCATCCTTAAAGATGGCTCATTTTGCCTGTGTGGAGAATTTGCTAGGATGAATGTGGAGAGGTAGGATTGCTGCCAAAGGCTGCACATTTTAACCGTGGTAGATCCAAATGGCATCACCAGTCTGTGTCTTACTAGTAACATGAAAATCAAGGACTTCCCTACCTCCTACCCCAAATTTGATATCAAACTTTTAATTATTTGCTAATCTGACAGATGAAAAACATATCTCAGTTGGGCATTTTCCCCATTACGAATGAGAATGAGGCTGAGTATCTTTTGAAATGTTTATGGGTCATTTCCTTTAAATTTTTATGAGTTCCCTGTTTACGACTTTTGCTTATTTTCCCACTGGATTGTTCGTATTTTCTTAATTTGTAAACGTTCTTGGTATAGACTCAGTACCAATCCCTTGATTTCTATGAGCAGCCCTTGTCTTTCTCGGTGAAAAGATGTCTATTGTGGGACAATGGCACAGAGCTTTTCGCCCTCTTGGCTTGTCGGGCTGTGGTACTGGAAGGATCTGGCTGTCGGATCTCCAGGGTCAACCCTGCCCAGTTAGTCACAGGAAGCCCAGTGCAGCAGGCCGTCTAAAGGAGACTCAAGTGCCCCAGTGGGTGCTGTCCCGTGAGTCTGATGCCATGGCTGGAATCCCCCATGTTAGTCAGCCCTCGGGGACTTTCTGGGAGCTTGAATTTTAACCCAGTGAAAGGTGTCATTAGACAGGATATTAGTCTACCGACACACTAGCAGTGATTATGTTCTTTGATTAAATGTTTGGCCTTTCTTTTCTATGAAAGAAGCTGGAGGGAATGAGTTGAACAGATTAAGTGAGGTATGTCTGAACCACACCACAAGGTCTTAGGCAGGGAGGAGGAAGTCTCAAGGCAAATTTTCTCTTTTTCAGGAAGGAAAAAAAAAAGGAATGCTATAAAAATAAATTTTGACTTTCTCACGCTTAATATAGAGTTTTTAAGTCCTCTAATATTTGGGCTACTTCATATCAGTTTCAATATGGGCTAGCTTTCCAATGACATTAGATGCTGTTTTAGTTATTTCCTTATTAGAGCAACCTTAAATAACCCGTTTTACGTCTCTGATTCAGTAGACCCTTTTGAAACTTCCTCAGAGTCCCGTGATAGTCCTTTGAGATTTAAAATGAAGGGATTACGAAGAAAGTGGCATAAAAAGCTTGTCCTTGGCCTGGGGTTGCAGGTTGTGGGTAAGTAGTAGATGGCTTGCCTATCATATGCAAGGCCCTGTGTTCGATTCCCAAGAATCTCCTCCCTCCAAGAAAACCCCACAAGACAGAAAAAAGAAAAAAAAAGAAAAAAAAATCCCCACCAAAACCAAAATAAAACACAACAACTCACAAAGCACATTTTACATCGTAAGGATTTATTCTATCTTTGCGTGTGGTTGTTGTCTCCGAGGGAAAAATGCTTGAAGAAAGCAGATGTGGGTGAGTCACATTGTAACCCTTACAGTTTGAAACAGTTTTTGTTTGTATATGGCCTTGTTACTTGGAAGGTGGCTGGCTGATGTCTGCAACAATACACTGAATGATGGATTTTTAGGGGTTGTGAATACCAAAGAAGTCGGATCAGAGAATCTCCAAGAACGATTCTAACTCTCGTACTCCACACTTCTTTTTGAGACAGAGTCTCGTTATGAGACAGGCGAGCCAGGACCCCATGATCTTACTGGGGGTGGGGGACAGGCATGCGCTCCAGGCCCGGCTGCTGCGCCTCTTTCGGATGAGCTGTCTGGCCGCTTTGCCTGGTCTGGGTTGGGCAGCATCAGCCGCAGACCCCGGGCCTCCTCTGCTGGTTCTTCAAGCCACTGTCCGCCATCTGCAGTGAAGGAATTCTGGAGAAGCGAAAATTCTCGCAGTCTGAGAATGGGGCAGTAGCATTTGCTACTTAATAAATATTTACGGGTTGAGTACAGAGTGTCCGACTGAGCACAGGGACCAGGCCCATCGCATCCCCTCAGCGAGATCAAGGCGATGAGAAGGGTCGGGAGGCTTCCCTGTAGGAAGGACGGACGGAAGGCCTGCCTGGGGACAGACGCGTTTCTCAGGAGGAGTCAGAGCCGGAGCTGGGAACTGGGCGAGAAATGGGGCTCACAAGGTGAAGGAGTGGGGCGCTGGCTGTGGTGGGGATGGCAGGACGAACCCCGAGCCCTCGCGGGGCGCACAGGGCTTCCGGATGCATCCCCGAGTCCTCCCCAGGATTTCTTGCTACTCTCCTTTTTCTCTAGCAGACGACAAACATGCCGGCCAGGGAGGGATCAAACTCACACGACCATAGCCCTGAGTCAGCCACACACGAGCTGACGCTGACGGCGGTCTCCCAATCTCACTCCTGCTGGAGCTGTCTCTGCCGTCCGTGCCATTTTCCTCTCTGCTTCTGCTGAGCTGTCATTGAGAGAACTCAAGTACTTCTGCGCCTAAGGAGCACGGAACAAGCTATGCAGCAAGCCGGGAGCCGGACCTGTAATCCCAGCTGCTCAGGAGGCTGAGGCAGCGGGACTGCAATTGTGAGACCAGCTTGGACCACGCGATGTCATCCTGTCTCACAATAAAATAAAAAGAGCTGGGGAAATAGCTCAGTGGTGCAGCACTTGCCTGGCATGCATGAGGTCCTAGGTTCAATTCTCAGTATGCCAAAAGAAAAAAAGAGAAAAAGATAAAAGGGAACAATGAGATTTTGTAAGGATAGGCTCGGGGTTACTTGAGAAAAAAACTGAAAACACCTAAACAGAAAAAGGAGGGGGGAGTCAAGCCTGGTGGCAAACACTTGTAATCCCAGCACGCAGTAGGCTGAGGCAGGAGGATCAGGAGTTGAAGGACAGTCTGGATTACTTAGCAAGACCTTGACTCAAAAAAAGCGCCAAAAGGGCCGGGGATTTAGCTCAGTGGTTTCACCACCTGCTGCGCAAGCACAAGGACCCAAGTTCGATCCCTGTTACAAAAAAAAAAAGCCCCAAAAAAGCCAAACAAAAGGATGGGGTATGCGATTGTTTCGGTCCTGAGGGCATGGTGTCTAAGAGGAAAACTAGATAACAATGCATTCGTGTTAATTGACTTAATCATGATGTTTCATATGTATTGAGGGCATGTTATATCAAGAACTGTTCCTCCCACTTTACATATTATTGTAATCCTCACAGCAACACTATTACGCTCACTCTACAACTTAGAAAACACGGGGACAGACCCGAGAATGTAGATCTGGTTGTAGAAATGGGGTGCGAGTGGATCACAGGCAGGCTGGCTAGAGAGGCTGTGTCCCTAAGCATTGGGCTCTTGTTTCTTGGTGAGACCCTGTTTCGAAATGTATTATTTTTCTTTTCTAAACAGTGAGTACGTTTGCGACACACAAGGGATCCATCCATCGTGGGGAGCCGCCTGGGTAAGGCATCTTAGTTCTTGCATTTCCCCTTTCCTTCTCTCCTTCCAGCCCAGGGCTTCCCTGCTCATTTTGGACTGGTAAGACCTTGCTACCTCCTAAAACTGTTCTCTCCCTCCTTCTCTGCAGAAGCTCAAGGAGATGCTAGGAAAGAAAGGCCGGCACAGCAAACACGACAGACTTTTCATGGACAACAAAATGCAAATGAGGATATGGAAGAGATTTTGTGGCTCATGAGTGTGGAACTGAAGCTCTGCAGCGTGAGACACCAGAACTGAGCTACACGCCAGACACCAGAGCCTGAGCCCGGTGTTGAGAACAGTGCCAGGCAGCTGAGCAGCAGGGAGGAGTCATCCTGCACAAGCAATAAGGACTGCAGAAGGGAGATGGCGTCCTCAACAGAGTGGCAGCGTTTTCTCTTATTTGCATCAAGCATTTGTCATTTTCTTGGCACAGGTTTCTCCTTTCATCCGTGAGCTGTGTGAGAGATTACGTTTCAAGTCGGCCTCTTTCATATTTGGGTTCAAATCCAGTTCTGCCATGTCCTTTTGGATAAAGGGCTTCCCTCGCAGTCAGAAGTTTCCTCCACACTGACTGATACCTGAGGAGCAGGGGTCACTCATCACAGCTCCCTGGACTGTGCCTCTGCATACAGCGCTCACTCTCTGAAGCTTTCCTGCTCTACCTGCGTCGGACAGGAGGCCGAGTGCCTGGGTCAGGGAGGGAGGTCAGAGACAGGTGCAGCAGGCAGACAGGTCTCCTCTGACTGCTGTTCTCTGCCTGTGGGGACCAAGGCTGTGCTCCTTTTACAGACGGGACCTGAAGCACAGAGAAGACTATCAGATTGTTCAAGGCCACGCAGCTGCGGAGTGGCAGAAGCAGGATTTTATCCTGGGCCGTTTGGCTTCAGAGTCTGGGCTCCGGCCCTCCTTCACCGCTGTGAGTCTCCTCCCATGGCTAAGGAAAAACAATCACATTGCTATTCCTTTTCTTTTTTACACAGGGTCTTGCTATGTAGTTCAGGCTGGCCTTGAACTCGCGATCAGCCAAGGGTGGCCTGGAACTCACTGCAACCCTCCTGCCTCAGCCCCCTTGTGCTGAGTGAGCGAACACAGATGGAGCTGGAGGAGGCCCAGCCAGCTGCCTGCCTCTGTGCAGCCTGCCTCCATCTTGGGGGTACGTCAGGGCCCCCCTGGAACGAGGGTCTCAAATCTCCTACCAGACAAGGTCGGTCAGAGAATTTATGACCAGCACTAACGGAAAGGTGGGGGAAGATTAGAGTAACATTTCCAGATGTCATGTTTGCCGCTGGGCAAGAAGATGTCCTCATCTCTATGGCCCAATCTGGGGACGAGGGGTTCTGGTTTCTGTGGCAGCTTTGGGGGAGAAAAGGGAGCAGGAGAAAGGTAGGTCAGAGACACCTGGTGACACTTCCAGCGTCTCTTGGTTCCGAGCACTCAGGATGGCCCGCGCCACACTTTGAGGTGTCACTTCCTGAGACCTAATGCTTGTTTTTAATTTTGTTGAGAAAGAATCAGAAGAAAATGTCCGTGTGTCACCACCACCACCACCATATTAACAGACCTGCTTGTCGGGTCCCAAATTCACTGCCGAACCTTTGGGCACCAAAAAATGTCACATCTAAATCCAACAGTCTCTCATGCTTGGGACCCCGCAATCCTGTCCCTTCCCCTGCTCTAGGACTCGTTCTCTTTATCCTCTCTTACAGCATCAGCTTCCAGCCCCGTGCTAAGTTACTCCCTCTTCCTGTAACATCTCCAATCATAAAAAGATTCCTGGTTTCCAGTCCAACATGTAAGGAGCTTGGAAGTTGTCACTCGATTCTAACAGGTAAAAAAAGCTGAACAAACTGACCCTTGTGAGCCCTGTGACCCCTGTGTCCTGGGGTCACAGGACAGTCTGATGCCCCTACACTGGAGAGACAGTCAAGAAAATAACGGAGGAGCACAAGTTACCAGAGCAGGACCTTCGAGGAACCAGCACCCCGGGAATCTCAGCACCCAACCAGGGCTGCTGGGGGCTCAGGGCCGGCGAGTCTGACAGTAGAAACTCCCAGGGGACCCAGTGCAGAGGGAGCCCCATGCCTTTGGAAGTTTTACCTCCAGGAGCCCAGGCTGCTTCTCATAGTGCATAATGGAGAAAAATGTCCTCATGTTTCCGGCAGGGGAGGAAAAGGATTTTGAAGAATGACAGGAGATTCTGCTCTTCACATTGTGATTTTTAAGTACTTTACCAGCGCATAAACGGCTGGCGTCATATCAGAGGACAACTGATCTGTTAGAAGATAACAACCGACACTACCTCTGTCTATCCTCTCCCACCTGTGGGGGGCAGTGAGACGCACTACTGAAACCTACAGCCCAGAGAGAGAGGCTTCCGGAAAGGCTGAGACCCGATTGGAGGACTGTGGGACACGCCCCCTTGCCCACCCAATCACATGAGGTCTTGAAAGGCTACTTTGCTTAAATTCCTTTCACCTAGGACAAACTGTCCAGCTCTCAGGAAAAATAAATCACAAAACATATGAAAAGGCCAAAACAAAACCAAAACTGAAGAGACAAAACAAGCATCAGAACCAGACCCAGATGTGGCGGGGATGCTGGAATTACCAGACCGGGAATTTAAATAATATGATTAATATGTAAGGGATTTTGGATAAAGTGGCTAGCATATAAGGACAAATGACAATATAAGCAGAGATAGAATTAATTTTTAAAATTCTAGAAGTCAAAAACACTGCAGTAGGAAAGTTAAAATAACGTATTTTTCTTATTCTTAATTGATCCAGTAGATAATTTGTCCAGACTGGTAATAGTTTGAATCTATTGAACCTTGAATGCATACAGTGTACACTATATACACACGTGCTTATGACAGAACTGATACAAAGGCTTGGGAGCAACTAGGAGTATACTGTTACTACGAGGTATTCTCAGCACCTGTGAAGTGGGACAGTGTCATCTGAAAGTGGACTTGGACTAGGTGTCAGTATATACTGCAGACTCTAGCACAAAAGAGCAAAACCAAAAACAAATACACTACTAAGAAAAAAGAGGAAATGTAATCACAGTCTGGCCCAATAAAACGAGAACAGGCCTCAAGGGGCCAGTGGTGGATGGCACTTGCATTACAGCAGGGGAGACTTTATTGTCATATCAGAAGAAAACAACTTGGAAAGCAATGTGAGTGAAAAATGTTATTGTCAACCAGTATATTTTATTCTATTTATAGATTTTTTTGGAGCCGAGGTCTCACTCTGCAGTCCAGCCTCCCTTGAACTCACTCTGTAGCCCAGGCTGGCCTTGAACACACAGTGATGCTCCTGCCTCAGCCTCCCAAGGGCTGGGATCACACCTGTGCATCACCACACCCAGCTCAACTGGTATATTTTAACCCTAACTGATTATTATTATCGATAGTGTAACTGTATGATGATTAGCATTAAGTCATGTGAGTAAAAGATGCAGAGGTGTATAGCTTCCTCTTTTCTTTTGGGAATGTTATTGTGTTGTACATCGTGGAGAGAGCAGAGAAGGGGGAGGGAGCCGACAATTAAGCAGTCTCTGCTGAGTGCTTCACATACATTTTCTTCTTCAAGACTCAGCAGCCCTGGGTGTATCTTTTTCTCCCTGCTTGACAGACGAGGAGGGTCAGGAGGTGAAGATCTCCGCCTGGCTATTAAGGGGAGGAGTCAGAATCCATAACCAGGCTGCTCCTCCAGGCCCTCTCTTCTGCTGTCTTCAGTGTGCTGGGTCTGGTCTATAAATCTTTCTTCAATAAGCAAGTCTGTTTACTGAGTCGACGAGTGAAGCCAGAAACCATGTGGAGAAAAAATGTGCTCTTTTCTGTCTGCAAATGTCAAGGGTGATAATATGGAATTGTATTCCTACCATCCATCTTGGAATCCTGTAACTGGGGCTTTTGTAAAAGTAGGAGGAAGTGAAGAAATTTTCCACCAGGACTTCTACTGCAGATAAAATGTTACTGAGCAGTCATTGTAGCCCACCCTTTCCCTCAACCCAGTGTATAATGGAGGATATGAGTCAACTAGAAAAATGTATCAGCTCATCTATTCTTGCCACATGTAATGAAATTTAGTATCAAAAATAAGGGGATGCTGGGCATAGTGGTAAACCCAGCACTCAGGAGGCTGAGGCAGGAGGATCACAGTGAGTTCAAGGCCAGGCAGGGTTACACAGTGAGTTCAAGGCCAGCCTGAAGTACTATATCCTAAGATCCTGTCTCAAAAGCAAGCAAGCAAACAAACAAACAGCAACAACAACAAAAAGGGCTTTAAGGGTCTCCCTAAACTTGCTTTTAATGGACTAATGAATTTGAAATAATGTAAAAAAAAATTGTGATGGTTCACTTTTGCATTGTGGTTTAAAGCATATCACTTGAGAAACATTTCAAACAAAGTATTTGTTTCAGGAGAGATTAATCTTAAAATTGCAAAAAAATAATGAATGAATGAATTCATTCAAGGGAGCACAATGTATTAAGTGCCTGTTTGTGCTTTGAACTCTGCTGGATACTATGCACAAAGACAGCACGGTGTACTCCACACTGGCTCACAGCCTTTAGAAGTCCTTGAGGGCCCCTTCTTTTGTGAGCTCCCAGGCAATGCAGAGCTACTTGGGGTGAGCTACATCTTGGGCAAAGAAGTGATTGAAAAGTTGGCAACCTCAACTCCTCCATGGAGCCAGGAGAACTGAAATAAGAGCAGGGTATTTTCTCAATTCTTTGCATAGCCATTTTAATCCATCATTATCTTCTAAATTAATGTCTTGCATATTATTTTTTAAATCTGTGCCAAAATAATATTCCCATTGCTTAGCGATACTTAGAAATGGATATGATTTTTTCCCAGTAATTCTTCTGAATCCATGTGTTTTAAGAAGTCAGCATTCCGGCTGTTTGCTGGAACAGATGCATTCAAGGTTTATTGTTGACCTTCTAGCTCCTTTAGTTTGGGACCCACATTTGCCTTTTAGATTTGGTGTTTAATTCATTTGTTGCTGGAAATACCCTCAGCTTTATTCAACATTTTGTGCTGTGCCAAGACCACATTTTGGTCTGTACACACTTCGTGGCCTTTATTTTTAAAAAAAGTTTTTCTGCTCCCTCAATAATTTCCAGCGGTATTCAATTTTGGTGGGATTCTGGAGTCTTACGCTTCCATTTTATAGGGTGAGAGCAGACAGATTCCAGGCAAAGGTTTACCCCAGTCCAAATCAACCACACCTTTCCATATGCAGTGTCTGCGTGTGGATGAGACAAACTTGGCAGAGAGGGTGACCACACAGCTGCTGGGCACAGGGTGACACACTGGCCACAAATCTTCACCTGTGAGGTCAGCAGGGCCCTTCTGCCTGCACTGCCGCACCCTAAACCACTCTGGGCCCCCGAATCCCCAGATTCAGGGCCCTTATCAGTGTGGGCAGCCGGCCCTCGCTCCAGGGTTTGTCTGTGTTTTGTGACAGGACATGAGGCACTTTCCAGGGACCCGAGAAGCAGAGAGGCATGACTACCAGGAAACGTTACTCTTCCCTGTAGGGGACACACCGCCTTTGTCAGTCTATGGTCTGCACACTTGGGGCAGCACAGGTGGGGGGACTTCCTCTTCCCGTAGGGCTCCACATTTATACTAAAATAAACGCCATGTTTACGGTGACATTTTCCATGTTAATGGGAGATGTTATGCTCTCATATGTCGTATTTGCTATTTCTCAGAAAGAAAAACCTACAGTAATAATTCAAACACCTAAACAGTTAGTAGGAATTAGCTTCAAATTAAGCTAAACTCTGAAAATAAGTTGTTTCCATTTTCATGTTGAATATGTAAAAGCAATCAAGAATAAAATTAATACTGGACATGTACAGCTTATTTCTTTGTTTTAAAAATTTCCGTTGTGTTAAGTGAACTAAACTGTATTGTTTATTTTTTTGGCATTATCTAAATCACCAGATGTAAGAGAGTTTGGTCAATGTGATTAATCTTACCTAACTTACTTTCTATGTACGGGCTACTTCTATCAAGTTACAAACATGTTAGAATGGAATGTTATTAATAACAATTATGTTTGAAAGTTATTGCTGGGGAATTCATAAAAGTGGGCAGGTGGGATGTGTTAGGGCAAAAGCACCCTGAGGGAATCAAGTCTGGCCTTTTTATGGCACAGCATGGTCAGGAGATTTAGCTTAGTTATTGCTTGGGCTTCAGCTTGACTGCTGGAGGTTACATTTCTACAGCACCAGGAACTCAGGAGGCTGGGACTTCTCAGCCACTGGGTCACTTTAGGACAAAGGCGCCGACTTGCGCTTCAGCGCATGAGCTGCTTCTTGAACAACCTAAGGAACGAGCCCTAGGAAGACTCGTCATTCTGGGCACGACCTCCCTCAGCACCTAGCTCTCACTTGCCAGCCTTATGTAAAGACCGCAAGTACAGGATTCGCTTGCTCTTAAGTCTTAGGCGATCATTTTGGAAAGAACCCTAAACCCTGAACATTCCTTTAACTGTAGCAATACTGACTGTGAAATTGTGCTTCTGAATTTTAGGATGCCGAATCTTACGTTTCCTTATGCTTAGAGAATTTTCATCCATGAGACCAGAACTCTCTGATCTCTCCTACCTTCAGGTCCAAGTGGACCGGCCTAGCTTACTGGCCTTCAGATGAGCCTGGCTCACAGACCTCTGTGCATCTGCTGATGCTGCTCCAACCCAACCCGCACTTGCGCACGTGGCCGACTTGGACCTGCACTTCCAGTTTTAAAGGATTGGCATCTGCAGGTGTTGTCGCGACCCACTTTGTTTGCTTAGTTGATTCTTTCACATGCTGTCCCGGATCACAGGCCATCTCTGTCACATTGCAAAGCTGTAATAAACCCTCCATTTCTTTGCAATGAAAACCACCCATTTATTTTTCTATCTGGGGCTCCCCAGAGACAGGATTCTTTGTAAACTTGTTAACTCAAAAGCCAGCGGAGCAGCTGAACAAGTGTTCGTTGAATAAATTAAAGAAATAAGTTGAGATGCTTAACAAAGAGGGAACGAGGTGGGTGGTACACATCCAAATTCCTAGCATGTTGGGTTTTTTGTGGTACTAGAGACTGAACCCAGGGTCTCCACACTGAGCTACATTCTTAGCCTCTTTTTGTTTTTTGAGTCAAATTCTTGCTAAGTTGCCCAGGCTGGCTTTGAACCTGTGACCCTCCTGCCTCAGCCTCCTGAGCTTCTGGGATTGCATGCCATGTGCTACCATGCCTGGCTATCCCAGCACTCTGGGAGACCGAGGAAGGAAGATTGCAAGTTTGAGTACAGACAGGGCACTTTAGTGACTTAGTCACAAAAAAGAAAAACATTAAAGAAGGGCTGGGGATGTTGCTCAGTACAAAGACCCTAGGCTCAATGCTCAGGACCACAAACCGAAAACTGGGGATTTGTGTATTCTTTTTGTGTGTTTGATGGAATGAACTAGAACAGCTGCAAAGTAGACACAGCACTCGAGTGGCCAGATTCTATACTGATCCCTGCTCCTAACTTCAAGTGAATGATACCAACTTGGAGTACCAACATGCTCTCCATGTGAAGCGGGCGGGTCAGCATCACACAGCTGATCCTAGGACTAAGGACACGACAGTTAGTGGGGTCATTTTGATCATTTACGAGGTCTAAAGGTTAAAGTTGTAAGAACTGCTGTGAGGCTGCCTCGCTGAGAAGCATGGATAGATCCAGTGACATGACACACGGATGAAGTGGCCAGCGTGTTTGCTTTAGGATTTCACTGGTATTGCACAATCCTTTTGGTTACGGAGTTCAGTATTCATTTTGAATGGATCTGTTGTGCCCCGGTCCAATTAACACAGCTTGCAGATCTGCCATCCTGAAGTGAGCAGGTGAATAGCCATATATTCTTCTAATTAAATCACAGTAATGTCGACTTTTATATCGGCAAAAACAATAGCTTTACAGTACACTAGGTAGAGTGAGAAATAGAGCTACCAATAAATAAGGCTCTTAGCCAAGCTTGTAAGACTGACTGGGATTGGAATTCTGTTCTGAAATGTATGTGACCTTGGGTTATTTTCCCAACCTTTCCAACCTCATGTACCTTTTCTGTGTTGGTCAGCTTTCTAGTGCTGTGATAAACAACTTCAAGGGAGGGAAGGTTTATTCTGGCTCACATTTCAGTCCTTGGTTCCTTGGCCCTGTGGCAAGGCAGAGAATCCTGTGGGGAGGGCTTGGGAGAGTGAAGGTGCTCACCTCACAGGGGATAGGAAGCAGACCAAGGGGAGGAAGGTAGGGCTGGGCTTCCCCCATCCCTTCCAAGGGCATGCGCCAGTGACCCAGCCCTCCTCTGTGAGGACCCAGCTCTTCTTAACAGGGAAACATCTGCGGGGCAGCAGAACTCAGATTACAGGGTTGTCATGGAGACCACGTAGCCAGCATGATGCTGGGACACAGGAAGTGTTCAAGAGATGCAAAGTGGCATACGCCATCGTCAGGACACCGCGTCTACGTGGAGCTGTCATCTTCCCCAGCTCCTCAGGCAGATCAGCGATGACTTGAAGCCCAAAACCCAGAACTTCTCTCTGTATTATCAGTTCATTCAGAGCCACATGGGGTACGGCCAAGCTGCTTCATTCATGTTCACAGGAGAGCCTGGGACTATTTCATTTCCAGAAATGATCACCTACCCAAGAAAAGCCAGGTGCAGCAGAACAGTACACGGAACCGATAAACACATATCAAAGAGCATTTTGAATTTAGACTGAGAATTCATTAAAACCTTTTCCATTTTATAAGCAAAATACTATTCTTTTGTCTTTGTAATAGTCATATGGAAGCACATCAAATGCAAAAGTTTGTCTATCTGCCCAGGAAATTGAAATTAGCAGAAGTGCCAGGACTCTTCTCATGCTTGCCTTTTTCTGAAACTCTGATGCTTCAGGAAATACCAACAAGATTCATCATCTACTACAGTTTAACTAGAAGCTGTGACTTTGTAATTTTCCCTCCTTCAACTTGGTTCTTGGAGAAAAAATAATTTTAAAGTAGACTACATATTTCTCCATCTATCTTGAATCAAATGATACAGTCCACTCATGTTGAATTAGATTTATGGAGGAAAAAAATAGCAGGGTTATGAAAGTTCTTAAGCAATTTCAATACATTCCAAATGTTAAGCTACTATTGAAAAGAAACAGTGCAGCAGCTCAGCTCCCAACTCTCTGGAAAGTAGACAATGTGTTTTTAATACCTGCCTGGAAGAGAACCAGTTAAGAATTTAGATCTTGGGCTGGGGATTTAGCTCAGTGGTTCCAGTGCCTACCTCGAAAGTGGAAGGTCCCGAGTTTGATCCCTGGTACCAAAAAAAAAAAAAAAATCAGATCCTTTGCCAATATCATGCAATGAATTCAGGCAATTGTGAGACTCTGCAAGATGCACAATTTATTACTCATCAACCCACACAATTTTTCCAGGTTGGCACTGGGCTTTACCAATACAGACCGACAATTTTTAATATAGTCACCGTGAGAAACTTGTAACAAGCCCTGGACAGTCAATAAACAACTCTGGCTAGAATCTTGCCAGACCTGATGTTTAATAGCATTAATGGTGTTATTTGCTAGCAGTCTTTGTAGAAGCTGAGCTGCTTCTCCTTTCCCATCTAGCTGATTATACAGCTAGATGATTACATCAGGGACGTGTTCAGAGATAGAGGTAAAATAAAATAGAGTGTATGTTCCTTGAATTTCTACAGCCTCGTTCTGAAAGTTTAGATCTTCAACTAGAGGTTATTATTACTTCAAAGTATTCTTTCCTTATACAATGGTGGTCCTTTAGATTGCAATGGAGCTGAGAATTCCTATCACGAGTGTCGTCATAGCTGTGATAGGGTTATAAAACAAGGCATCATGTGTTCATAGCAATGCTGGTATAAAACCTACTGAGCTGATGGTCGCATACAAATGTAGCACAGGGCCGGGATTTAGCTCAGCAGTTTCGCCGCCTGCTGGGCAAGCACAAGGACCTGAGTTCGATCCCCAGTTCCAAAAAAAAAAAAAAAAAAGTAGCCCAATTATACACGGTACACAGTACTTACGAGAGAATAAGAAACTACCTTACTGATTTAGGTGCTTACTAATTTTCAGTTTTTTAAAAGCATACTGTTTACTTACAAGGATTACTATGAAACAATACATTGCAGCAGCCTCATGAATTTGTGTTTACATGAAAATGACACAGTGAGCAAGCAACTCCACCAAACAGGCTTGTGTAATCACAGTGATTTCTCCACAATGGTGAAATTGCCCTTGGTGCATTTCTCAGAATGCATCCCTGCCATTAGGCAACACACGACCATGTTTCTTTTTTGGAGGTAACCCATGAGTAGCTTAGCTTCTATAAAACTCTATGAGGTTTTCTATACTGCATATTTGCTGTAACTTTACATAAAAATACTTGGAGAGAGAAAGCAGCAATTTGAGGGAATCTCTTGTTTTATAGAATAAAATACTGATTTATCTTTCCAACAGTGGATTCAAAGGAAATGTGTGAGATGTCTTTCGGCAACCCAGCAGACCTCTATTAAGTTTCTTTAAAAGTCCTCCACCTTTGGAAGTGGGATTGAACCCAGGACCCAGTGCATGCTAAACACATGTCATTCTTAGCAAGCCACACCTACACCCTTCCCTCAAGAACCTGACATTTATATCACCCGAGTCGTTTTCATGAGATTTTACCAGTTCATACTGCATGCATATAGAAATAATTTTTACCCAAATGCTTAAAATATCATTCATGTTGACCATTAAATGAGAATCTTGTTTTTTTTTTTCGGTACCGGGGATCGAAATTGGGTCCT